TAGGAACAGGTATTGTTCTCTTGACTCCCCCTGCCTTCTCTTACATTTTGTCAGTTTCTAAGGGCAAGATGAAAAATGCTCAGTGGCAGCAAAGAGCTCTGCTACTCGCTGTATGCGATACACAGACTTAACTCCCTTTTGCTTCTTAATGGTGGCTTCGAGGAAGAAATAAGAAGGAACTGAAGTACTTGACAAAAGAAAAAACTCACACAAGCTCAACTCCTGAAGAGACCTACTGTGATATTATTGGAAATGTTACTCCATAATCTTCACATTGTATTTTCATAGATTGACAGTTCTATGTTTAACAGTTCACAGGGGAGGAAACCAAGACTTGGAGAAGTGAGGTCCCATCAACACCACTTTGAATGGTGCTTCCTTCTAAAGCACTTTAATGGGCTTTCAAACTTTCAGGTTTCTAGTTTTGATGTTCATTCTCATGGCTTCATCAAATTTTGTATCATAACTGCATTTGCTAGTTTAAGATTTTCCTGGCAGCGTTGTTCCGCACCTCTCCTCCTGAGACAAAGAAACTTTGCAAACAAGCAGTAAAAAAAAAAAAAAAAAAAAAAAAAAAAAAAAAAGCACGTTTTTGCACTCTATCATACCAAGAGGAAAGTCTACATTTTCTTATGCTGCTTTGAAAATTGTAAACACATGGGAATCCAAGAGGTTTGAAAAATATCAGGATGACAAGATGCAAACAATAGTTATTGAAAATAGATAAAAATATTCCAAGAACTGAAATAGTGGTGGTGGTGGTAAATTCTCAAATTAGACCATTACTTGAACAGGGCTGCTCAAATTTCCTATCCTACTTGTATCCTTATGGAAAGAAAAAAAACAAAGTAAGCTTGGAATCACAATGGCATCACTTTAGAGGTGCCAAGGTTACTCTTGGAGCTGCTTCTTGCCCAAACAGCTAAGCTGTCTACCATCAATCTGCTTCTGGGGTAAACGGGACACTGGCTACTGTCCCAAATTCAAGCCATACAAACAAACAAGAAAGAAATCTGTTAGATTTGTAAAGTGAAATAAGACCTTGCCTAGCTGGAGAGCTCTAGGGCAGTGCTGAGCCCCTGAACTTGCTAGGGACACTTTTGCTCTCCCAAGAGATTACACTTGCCTTTGAACTTTCAGCCATATAGAAAAAAGGCTGAGTTGAAATGTCAGCATCATCTTGGATTCAAATCAATCAGCTTGATGCATGATTGCAATAGCTAAACCACTTCACCTCTGCACTGCCCTCGTCCATATGTTCTTTATATCAGCAGTCAGCAGACTGGGTGGCTCAGTGGATTCATTTCCTGTCCTAGGCTTGGGCTCCAGTTTAAACAAAAAAACCCAAACCAAACCAAAAAAAACCCAACAAAACCCTGAAACTGGAAAATAAAAATTAGCATCTACTGACAGTTAAATTCACCAGACTTGTTTGCATCAAGTCTCTTTCTTCATTCAAGGAAGTTGCAAGAAACCCTTCGGGAAGCCCTGGTACAACTGGTGATTTTTAACCGTCTACTCAACTAGCTGGTCAGAGTTTTACAAAAAAAAATAAAGGAATTGGAGACATTTCAAATGTTGACATACCTTTGGGTGAGGGGAAAGCAATGAAGGGAAGGGCAAGGAGAGCCCCAAGCACTGTCAACTTAAAAAAGAAACAGATTGGAAGCAGCCATCTCCACCTCAGTAAATTAATAGCCCACTGAGTAGCAAAATCCCCACCCACTTCTAGAGCTCCGCTTCCTCCAGACGATGCCGCTCTTTATCAGCTACAATGCAAGAGTTAAATTCCCAAGATAATTTAAATCTAAACAATTTGCAGCCTTCAGCATTAGCGTAGGTGCCTGCCAGCTGGTGACAGTTAAGTGGTTACTTTCTCAAGCTAAACTTAATAGCTAAGGGTCAAGACACTGTAATAATCGAATTGCATTTAACAGCTTGCTCTATCAGAATGCAGTATGTTACTATGGAAGGGGAGTTTTCTGATTAAGGGTGTGTTACAGCAAGCCAGTCTCATCAGGAGTCTGTCATACTTTGGGGCTAGACATCCATGCTGGAGTGTTTCCTTTATAAAAGAAAAGTTGACCTGCCATTTGGGAGATAACAAGAAAGTATGCATGTCGGAAATAGCTGCACTACAGCCTTTGAATGATTTCAAGTTCTTTGACTCGATTTCCTTGGTTCACCCTCCCACCATCCTATCTTCCCTCATAAAATGCTAAAAGAAATAAATTTTAAGAGGGCAAGGAAGGCCTCATAAAAAGACAGCTAGTAAAAATAATCCATCCTCCAGATAGGCTACAGTGGGTGCCCCAAAGAGACTGTTGCAGAACAGCACAAAAAAGGAGCAAGTATCAACCCTGCTCACTGGGGATTAAAGAAGGAATCAACAGATAGGATCTCCCAAGTCTCAAGATGCAAAAACACCATCAGTCTGAAGAAGAGACCCCACAGCCATGCCCATACAACTGCCAGAACTTATCTGTGTGTTTGATCAATCCATTATCTCCTGACTTAGCCTGTCCTACTCATGAAAATGCAACCTTACTATTCCAGGGCCCATTAGGAAAGAAAACTTTTTACTTCAGTCCCTGGAAACAGGAGACATCTTGAAGTGGAAACTCAGAGCCATTGTAGTTGCTATTCTGCTGACACATGGAGAACAATAGTGACTGTCAGAGAATTGGAGCATTTGCAACACAGCAAGAAGGCAAGTTAAAAATAGTGCAGGTCCAATCTGCTTTCAGTCATACCTACCTCACATCAACTTCAAAAGCACCAGCTGCACATACAAGTGAAATGAAATATTGAGGAGAAATCTAACTAATACCAAAAAAGGATTAAAGCCTTTTGAGGTCCTACCCTGCTAATTCACTGTGGCTTCATAACTGCACTGGTTTTGTTTGTTTCAGTTTTCTGTTTTCTTTTGTCTGCTGTTTCCAGGAAGGACCCACACATATGTAAGCATCCTACCCCCTCAGAGGAACCAAATTTGTAGTAGGAAGTAAGAGAGAGCACAGAAAGGAAAGAATACAAAAGGTTTTATATCAGGTTGCCAAAAAGCCCTAAAAAACTCTTTTCAGCCTCTTTTACTTACGATTCCAAGTGACACTAACATTAAGAATTAACATAAGGAGCAAGTAAACACTTCAGTTTTAAAATTGATGCCTCTGGACAGCTTGAGGTGCTGTGCACACCACTAGTGTCAATACTGCTGCTAGAAACTAAGTGGCACAACCCTGCTGTGCTAGAAAGGGGTCTTTTTTTTTTTAATTTTCCTCCTTCTTTCAAGAATATGGGACTGTTGGTAGCGCCAGATGTTTTAGGGAGGGGAAAAAAAGGTAAAAAGAATCTCACACATAAAGTGAGGGCTTGCTACTGGCTTTCTGCTCACACTCCGCAGACCATATCCAAGCCCAAAAGAACAGTTCCACCTTGAAAACTGACTGCATAAAATTGTCACCTCGTTCCACAGACCTGCTCCTGTGAGATCGCCGCTGACTTTCTCAAACAAGCTTATGTTGGCTTTTTATTTCCACTGAACTCTACTGAGACAGATCTGGCACTGCGGGAGGGAGCTGGATTCTCTCCTTTACACCAGCAGCACCACTAAGCTGTAATTATTCACACCTGTCCAAACCTACCAGCACAATGGGCTGCACACATGGGCTTCTCTGGTCCCCGGGTCAGATCCTCAGCCAGGCTAAGCTGCAGCTACTTTGGAAATAACAGTTCTGCCACAATCCTTAGCATCCCTCTCCACTGTAGTGACAGGTAAAAATCCAAGCTGCACACAGCACCTTCTACTTTCCCAGGCTCACTTCTTATAGCAGCATGCTAAATTTCAAAGCTCTCTCCTGTAGACTGCAATTTAGGGTAGCTTTTTTAAGAGTGTTCTTGAGCTTCTGGGCAGCTATTGTTTCCTCAGCAGCCTGAAGCGAGCTGCTGTCTGCAACCATCATTTTTGTGACTGTAATGAGACAACTTCCTAGTTAGAGATTTGCCTGAATTGTGCGATTAGCACCGAGATATCACAGCACAAAGAAAAAGAGGTGCAGCTACAAACAGCAGAATCTTGAGAGATGTTGGACACCCCCAATGACCCTTCACCAGCCAGCAGAGGCAGGCTATCTTGACCTGATGCAAATGAACAGAAAACTCAAGGCTTAGTTTCTCTCCCATTCATAAGCCATGAACACTTATGACATACATTCAGCAGAAGCCTTAGTGCCTAAACCTGAAACTTGATGGAGAAGCAGGACTTGTTTCAAAGCCCCAGAAGTAACAGTTAAAGCAGAAAACTAAGGAAGGAAAATGCAAAACATGCCCCTTCTGTCCATCATGATGAGAAAAGACTTTGCTTTCTTCCAGCTCTGGAAAGAGCCCTGTGTTTTCATTCGAGTGAAAGATCAGATGCCAAACCCAAAACTGTGTTTTCACATGCACCGTGCAACCTGAATGTTGCACCAGTAAGTCAAGGGGAGGGTGGGAAGAGGAACAGAAGGTGCCTAATTTAATTCAAAACTCTCTGGGAACACAGATGTTATTTGTGTCCCGACCTTACAGGCATAAAATTTTTACAATCAGCCAACCAGAGACCAGCTTTCATCAGCTACAGCAACTGGTGACGATAGTGAGTTACAGAGAACATGCACACTGACATGGAGAAAGCACATTTTCTGAAGGACTGTGCAATGGGGACACGAAGCATGAGCACATCTATAAACAGGTCATCCCCGAGTATCCATTTCTCAAATTTCTTTCCCCTCCCTGTTCAGGCTTCTTTGCAGGCATTCAGTATGGTCTGTTTTCTAAGACCACCTTTTGGAGCTTGCATGTGAACTTTCAGATAACGACGGGGAGTGAAGAGAATAGGTGATTTGTTCTGTGTTTGAGAGGCATAGAGCAAATTAAGGAACAAAACCCAGCTCAACCCAGCCAGTCCATCCACACATCCCCTAGCTGCTCTGTAAGGACAGATGCATTGCTGGATAACTTACCCTCTTCACAGTTGCTCCCTGTGAAGCCAGGACAGCATCTCCACTCCAGCGTGGTCACAGTTCGGTAGGACATTTTGTACGTGGGCCTGATGAGAGTCCTGTAACTAACACAAACAAGAAGTCAGTAGAATGGACTTACCTACTCAAGGGCAGTGTTGCTACTGATTTGTAGCACATCTTCCTGCCTGGATATATCCCCAGAGCAGCCAGCCTCCCCCAGCTGCAGAAAAAGGGAGACACACAAAATAACAGAGCAAGGGTTTACCACAGTGTGGATCTGATTTGACAACCTTTTTTCTCCTTAAGTCCTCATACTCTTCTGGCTCTTCCCCATACCTCTCTCCCAAATAACACCAGTATGCTTTGTGGAGGTCTCATTGCTACCAAGTTGTTACAAGTAGCAGAGATTACGATTCTTGTTTCCCCGCACTCTACCTCTATGGGGATTTTTCTGACCTTGAACAAAGGCTGGCATTAGCCTTTCCTCACTCAGTACTAACAGAGTTTCCAAAACATTACTCTCACAAAAATTGCATAAATCTCTCGGGTGTCTTCCCTTCTCCCACCCCCACCACTCAGATCTGGGGTGTATCAACACATCAGCATGACAAAGATCATCATGACACATTACATTGGTGATCTCCATGGAGTCTTTTTTTCCAGCTAGCTGACCTGTGCCTCAGTTTTCCCCATCTGAAATAGGGTTACACTCTTCCTCACCACAGCCAAGGCTCTGCAGGACACATTTGTTAGCTCTGTGTACAGCACACAGCACCCCCAGGGTCCCAATTAAAGCACAAGTACTGCCATGCCCCACTGGAAACTAGAGGGCTACGTGCAGACACAAGCAGACCTGTGCAAGGCACCAGTGATTCTGAAGTCAACACAAAATGGACAGTTCCATAAATGCCAGCTTTTCTTTTAAAACAGCAGTCCTTTAAAGCTTGCAAATCAGAGTTTTCCCAGTATACTGCCAGGCAAGTCACTGCTGCTATTCATGAAGCTAAAAGCAAACACAGAAGTCGTATTCTACAAGCTCCCCTCAAAATTCCTACCCTTATTTAATAGCCAAAGGAATTTGGCAGGCACAGGGACAGGCTGAAGCTTTGGGATTACAGTGTTGCAGGCTGCAGCTTTATGCTTCTCTCTCAAGACACAAGCCCAGAGCACCCGGGTCTCCTTGGGGAAGAGCCTCCTCCCGCAGTGCCAAGAGCCACCAGGAGACGGAGCGCTGCCCCAACCTGCTCCGCCTGCAGTACTGCCCTGGGCTGGGCTAGGCACAAGGCCAAAATGGAGCTAGAAATTGCATGAATCTCATCCAAAATCCCTCCAAGGGGTAGCAGGCACAGGTGTACATCCAGGACAGCACTGCAGTGACATTGGTAGTTACTGTGAAGAGCAGTAACACAGGCTTGCCAGAAGAGGCTGCCCATGTATGTCTTGGAAAGAAGGGAACAGCTCAGTCATGGTTAACACTGTCTTTGGGAAACTAATTTCTCAGTAAACTGTTGCTGATTACTTATGCAAGCTGCCAAACACAGAAACCAACTTCTATAGCCACTGGAGAAGAGGGCTGCGCAAGCTTCCTCCTGAGCATGGGGCTGCCTGCACTTGAAATGGATCGCCCAGCGATAGGAGAGCAGTGCTGTCTCCCAAGAACATTACGTCCTCACCTTCCAAGTTGCCAAAAAGCATGCCAGTTACTTCTAATACTGACAACTGTGATCCAGGCACTTCTCTAATATGGGCTGGACAGAGCCAGCTAATCCCACCTAGTTCTTAGCACTTCTGCATCCAATGGTATTCAGGAGTTTGCAGTCTTGAGTGAGTTTGAGGACTTGGCACCATGTTGATGTAGGTAGACCTTCAGTGCTTTTTCAAAGAGACCTCAGGCATGAAGACTTTAAGTTTCTTGCTGAGGGCCTCTCAGACAGCTCTGGCAAAGTTCAGGAACTGAACCCAAGTCTCCCGACTCCCACTTCTGGCGTTGGACTTGAGACATCTTTCCACACGTAAGCCCTGAACCATCAGTCAGAAGTTCATGACTTTGTCACTAACACCACAGCTGGATTTGACCTTGAGATGAAAGTCTCCAGCCCTGTTACCAGTGTCCGGAGCCAGCTAGTCTCCAACCACACCGTGATTTTAAAACCATGTTTCTGCCAACACCAAGATGTTAAAGCTCTCTCAAACTTCATTATGAAGTGTGGAGAGTGGCTTGAGCCAGACTGGAATCTTGGCAGCAGTTCTGTGTCGGGGAAGTAGCTAGAGTTTAATCCTCAAACGAGCAAGGACTTCTCAGGGCATGACAAACGTGGAGCTCAGCTGTCACAGCCTACCACCCACCCTGAATTTCCTGGAAGAGTCCTGATGTTTGCAGCTCCATTCAGCATTATGCAGTCAGGCATGCAAAGTGGTCCCTGCTTGCTAGCTCCGATTCACTCTAAAGTTGCTCTGTTCTTCATAGCATCATTTTTCCTCAAGCATGTGACATGGCACCAAAATCTGTTGTTACATATATCATCACATCACACAGATTTCTGACTGCTATTCCAGGAGGGGAGCAAAGAAAACTCCCTTAGCAAAGCATGACCACTGTCTGACACCTGAAGTGTTGCAATTGAAGGAGAAGAAAAAACATGGAAAAAAGGAGAGGAAAAGAAGATACCTGTTAAAGGTCAGAAGCTTTGGAATGAAAATGTGTGGAAAACACAACAGGCAGGAAAAAGGATTGGTAGCAGAATAGGGAAGCCTTTCCCTTGGATGTCGCCCAAGCCACAAACGCTGGCATAGAAATCTGCAAAACCACAGTAAGAGAAGAGGTTAGGATGAGCCACAACCTGAACGACTTTGCTTCCCAGACAGCCAAAGGATGTGCTCAGCATACACAGTCCCCTTCAGCAGAAGGCTTCCAAGCATTTCACAGAGAAGCAAACTACTGGGACCTGCCACTCTACTGCAAGAGATAAGCGTCATTTACCAACGTTTGCTGAGGCTCACAGCAATGTCCCAGGGAGTGGGGCAACACTGAGGGAAGAACCCAGAAAACTCAACTAGCAGCCACTGCTTTTACTAGATCAGATCAAACACCTGGCTGTCCTTGGAGACTGCCTGATCAGTGTCAGACAAGTTACAGGAACTCATCTGCATGCAGTCATCATTTGGGAAACCGAGTCTCTTGCTTGTGTCTCTCTAACTGACTGCCCAGGAAGTAGTAATTTGGGGATGGAGCGTGAGATAACCGATTAACTGATTTGGGGGTATGAAGCTAGAAATACTGGAGAGGTCAGGACACACTGAGGGATGGCAGCCAACAAGTCTCACACCTCAGCATGCAAGGATATGTTCCCCTTGCTCTCAAGGAAGTGTCACTGAACACAACAGCCACACATGACACAAGAAAGAGAAAGTGTGTCACATTCTTGGATCAGAGCCTCAAAAATCAGGTCAAAGAGAAAGGCATGATCTCTGCCATGACCCAAGAAGGACAGCCTGTCACACACCGGAAATACCCGCCCCCTTTATGGATTTCCCCTGCCCTTTGACACTTACAAACAAAGCTGTTTGTACACAAATACCACATGAGAGAGAAGGTGTGAAACTCATTTCCACATCACAAGAGATGGTTTTGTTAGTGGGATTCATTCAGCCACTGAAGTTTGTGCCCAAGGAGACCTCCGCAACCTTCAGAAGCTTCTATTCATTTTTATTTAAGTGTCAGGTTGAAAGTTTCAACATCACTTACTGGTGGGTTTGAGGGTAACAAGAAGAATTAACTTGCCTTTTTGACTAGCAAAGAATCTGGAAACCAAGAAATCCAAGCTTTCTTTTATGTACTACTCTCATTGCAATGAAGTCACATATCAACCCAATGGGTCCAACCCTGTACAAATAACTGCCCTATTGTCTTTCTAACAGGGACAATCCATCTTCATTATAACAAGTGCTACCTCTGTATTAAAAAAAGATCAGAACAAAACTCATGGTAGTTCCTCCAATTTTTGGTACCCAAGCCCTGATTTACAGACATGCCAAAAATCTAAAATTCCCCATAGAAAATCAGGGTATTCTGAAATCAGATTTCAAATACATCACGTTAACGTAATCTAATCTTGAAGTACTTGACTGCCTTGGAAAGAAGGGAGGTTGGAAAGAGCTTGACAAGTATTAACATAGAGAAGATTAACATATCCTATGGGTGTACCATAGAGAGTCCGTTTCTCAGAGAAGCTATCAAGAACATATTTGGTTCCAAACACCACTATCCCCACTCCAGACAGACCATCATAACTATCCTCTCAAAGCCTACCAGACCCTGATATACCAGGTAGCTTCTCTATGGAATACAGACAAGATAACTTCACCTCAAACTAGTGCTACAGCTGATGCAGGGACAAGGACTACCTTTGCCATCACATTTGCACTCACAAGCATGGCAGAGACCATCACTCCGTGAATCAGACCTGTGCTCTTTTTTTTTTTTCCCCTGCAACCCCAGCTTTTCCAGCTTCCCTAGCACAAAGGCAGTAGTTCCCCAGGGAAGAATGTAACCAGAGGAGTTTCAAATATGCTCCTGCAGACACTGGACAGAAAACAAAACCTGCAGCTGCAGGAGTGTTGGAAGCCATTGTACATGTCTCCTGCCTTTGCCAAAGGCGAGGAAGAGGACTCTGTTCCACTCTGAGCATGTCTGGTTTGCACAACTTACCGAGAGTCTAAAACCCAGAAAACAGAAACTTATACACCTTCCATCCCAAGTTGTACAGAGCAATACTCTACAGTCTCTCAGTCCCAAGGAAAAAAGATAAAGGACACAGAGACAGATGTTTCTGTGCCACCAGAGTAATCATCAGCTCCTGTCTTTATTAACAATTAGATCTCAGTGCTATAGCAGAGCAGCACTGCCAGCTGCCTCCCTACCAGCAGGGAGGAAGAGTGCCCAGACAGCATGTCTGGAGAAGATCAAAAGGCCTTCAATTAGCAGCCTGAGGACACCTGTGCCTGTGCACAATCTACAAAGCAGATGGCCCTCCACTAGGGCCCAGCCAGCAGCACACAGCCATCCACATTGTTCCCAAACATGAGAACGCACCTTTGTGCTACA